GGGGAGGGTGTGGGGTTCTGTCATATTATTGCACGACTCGTGCATCGGGATTCCCATAGCGTTACGAAGCCGGGCAATACGAGGTATATGATAAAAGACTGTTTTACACAACTTTGGCAAAAGATGGTGTGTCATTTACAAATATTATGAAGAGAAAGAAATGCCAATAAGTTGTCACCCAATCACGCTAATGATCTGTTATTGCAAACTTTTTCAGTTTGTCTATCAGTATGACACATTTAACTAACGAAATCCTGGGACAAGTCAATATAGATCGCACCTGTCAGTTTCTCGTTCCATATTTGAAAAAGCTCAGGGTCACTATAAAACCTTGGCGACTATTTGGGGATCCTTACTTGATTACGAGGGTACACCGTTCGGATAAATGTGCTCATTTACGAGTGTTACGACATGCACCATCGAATGTGTCCTGACATTTCATACTGTGTCAGTACAAACAATTTGTTTGGATAATTTTGTCTTTTATTATATAGAAATGTATATGACTGAATGAAATAAACTGAAAGGCAATCGCATCGTGATCTCCTATTTAGACCGTGCCCGAGTCCCCCTCTATTATTTGAAGTCTCCTGTTGAAATCGGTTTGACCCAAATTGTTCTAATCACGTAACGATCCCCAGTCGCGCTTAGCAATCAATTTAGCTGACAATGTTGGTTTTTGGAACATTATGGTGGTGAAAGAAGTGATAGATTATTAGTATTTGGCGGTCAAAAACAATACCTATGTTAGCATGTGTTCTCATCAGATTGTATTTAAAGTGTAGTTTGTGTCAGTGTTGAAACCGATTAACTCTTAATAGTGGTCCACTCAGTACATAGACATATTTAAAACCCATCTGGAAAATATTTGAAGATCTGGAGATAGCGACCAAGTGATAAGGTTATATCCCAATATCAATTCCATAGATTATTTAAAATTACTGTATGTACTAGTAATAACGTCAATCAAAGTGTCTGATTGGTGAAACGTTAACAGTATGTCTCTAATTGGTTAAATGTTAACAGTATGTCTCTGATTGGTTAAATGTTCACAGTATGTCTCTAATTGGTTAAATGTTCACAGTATGTCTCTAATTGGTTAAATGTTCACAGTATGTCTCTGATTGGTTAAATGTTCACAGTATGTCTCTGATTGGTTAAATGTTAACAGTATGTCTCTAATTGGTTAAATGTTAACAGTATGTCTCTAATTGGTTAAATGTTCACAGTATGTTTCTGATTGGTTAAATGTTCGAAGTATATCTCTAATTGGTTAAATGTTCACAGTATGTCTCTAATTGGTTAAATGTTCACAGTATGTCTCTGATTGGTTAAATGTTAACAGTATGTCTCTAATTGGTTAAATGTTCACAGTATGTTTCTGATTGGTTAAATGTTCACAGTATGTCTCTAATTGGTTAAATGTTCACAGTATGTCTCTGATTGGTTAAATGTTAACAGTATGTCTCTAATTGGTTAAATGTTCACAGTATGTTTCTGATTGGTTAAATGTTCGAAGTATATCTCTAATTGGTTAAATGTTAACAGTATGTCTCTAATTGGTTAAATGTTCACAGTATGTCTCTGATTGGTTGAATGTTCACAGTATGTCTCTGGTTGGTTAAAAGTTAACAGGATAAGAGATTCTAATTGGTTAAATGTTAAAATTATAAGAGCCTCTGATTGGTTAAATGTTAACATTATAAGAGACTCTGATTGATTAAATGTTAACACAGTCCCTCAAACAGTATGGGTTAATTCCATGTTGGCCAGTGCAACTATTATGTCCGAAAATTCTAGAATGTATAACATTATATGCTTTTTGCTGATAAGTGAGAGTAGACATTGAACTGAATCTTTTGAAGTCTTATCCCCAAGAAATAATCCCCGAATAGTTGACGACGGAAAATGACGAAATCGACGTCACAAATTTATTAATTTCACTACGCATATTAATGGGCATGCTCATATTGTAAAGACAGCAACAAACAATGAATATGTATAACATTAAAAAAGTACTATTTAATAATTAAATAAAAAATATCAGATTTAGCTTTCTGGAAATATTATTAAAGACTGCAAACATCAAGGGGTAATATTGACTGCCACGGGGTCTAATTTAAAAAGTCCTCTATGTGAAACACGCCTTCTGGTCATATCGAACATCATTATAAGAAACACATGTTTTCTAGGATGTCCTTCTAGAAATATTACAATAAATATAACTGGATTTTTTGATGTGTAGAAGCAGCTTACAGCAAGGATATTTAATAACTTTGATTTGTACACGTTCAAACTTTTTGGGGGTTTGGTGACCAACTACAGAACAATAATTAAGAATCATTGCTCTGTAGTACTCAGAAAAAGATTGACCTGTACGTTTGGTAAAATCGGGACATTTGAATGCTTTAGAAACAATTAAATTGATTGTTGTTGGTGTGAATTCCGAGGTTCTTTAATAAAAGGCGGTGCAGTGATCGTCGCGCCGTGCTTCGTTTGATATGAGACATTATATTATAGCATTATCAATACCAGTGGATTTTATGACGTCATTGCAGCAGATTATTCGCGATAATGTATTACATTATTGAGCATTAAGGCATGGATATGAATACAATGTTATTTTCGAAAACGAATAAAGAAGAAACTATTGAAAGAGAAGAGAAATTGTTAGATAACAAGTATTTAATACCAAAAATAGCATCAAATAAAACTGTCCATAACCAATAACAGCGGATTCCAATATCGAAATCAGACAATATTGTGAGGGAATTGTAGTCTGCTCTGTACGCTTACGCGCGTTCGGTCGAAGCGTTCCATCTCGTACGCGCGCTTCTAAATTCCGCGACTGATGCCGCTGTCCTTGTGGCCTCCTGATTCGTTCGCCCTATTGTGTTGATGAAGTGAGATTAACCGAGGATAATTTATCCACGCAAATGCGATAAACGAAAGGGGGGTACAATGTATGCCTACGAGTACATAGAAATGAATTCGTTCTGTTTTTGTAGTGAGTAGTACTACACAATTTGCGAAACGAGATCGTATTCCCTCAGCGTCGACTCCCGGTAAATGTAACAGTCCGGGCACAGTTTGCATAAATAAATGAAAGTATCCGTGTCCCCATGTGTGTATTTGTTTATTTATACAGTGAGATTAAAATAACTGTTGGCTCACCTTCTAGGATGGCTAACACTCACTAGCTTTCCGGTCATGTTCGTTCGCCCGCTTCAAAGTAGTCGTCAAATCCCCGCCCTGTCGTAGAATTTAAAATAACTACTAGTATTACACAGAAAGGACAGTTGCTAATAATATCTACCTTGATGGTTTGAAAACACTAGTGGGATGGGGTAACGATGCAACTACGTGCATGTAACACGGGTACGCACCCCTACGGACAGTCGATCAAGCTGGACCACTGCGGCGATCTAGCGAAGTGCAAGGCCGCGGTGGACATCGATACGGCGTGCCAGTCACGGTGTGCCGTTCGCTCGGGCGATCACTGCAATGCTACTCCACACCACGCATCAGTCACTCATTCACTCGCAATGTAAATGAGTTCAATACAATAATATTTAATGAATTAAAACTAGTTTCTTTCTTAGTTTGCCCATGGAACTATAGGTTTATAGTTCCATTTTTGAGATTGTGGAAACAATTTCTAGAAAGACATTTTAAATTATTCAGATTCACAGGCCAGTGACTGTGAAACTACTTCGTTTACTGTAGATTTTTCTCTATTTTTTCCCGCTTTTTAGAGGCAGAAAATCCACTGGTAATGACAACGCTACAAAATAATAACAATAATGAACTCCCCGACAACCCATAATGGGCGAAAGCTCACTTTGTGCGACATATATGGAGCACAAAGTGTGCTTAAGTTGGTGGGTCGTTCATTATTGTTTTTTGTTTTTTTTAACCCGTTCTAATGTTGCATCACGGATGGAATATACATCAATAGAAATAATACTTGTACTATTCTTAGCAACAAAGCTGATAAAACAATAATCTCCGTACATATTAAATAGACCATCTGATACTTTAATGGCAATACATATCTAATAATCTCTAATTTACGCTCATCATTTCTTTATTTAACTTATTTTAGTAGCCATATTAGGGGTCAAGTATTTGAAATCATAGGTGTCTCTGGACGAGTGTTACTAGTGCATTTTTCCCGCTGTGTATTATCTGTATATTTTTACATGTTTTTATACTATTCGTCAAGGTCAGACCTACCTCTAAATACTCTAACTAGATAGAGGCGCCTGGGAGACAATTTTCTAATTTCAACATTTTTTTGATGGGGTGAAAGTTGGTTTCCATGAAGCACATTTGCGGAAATTCACTCAGTTACTTAATCCTGATTCAAGCTGGAATTTGATTCCGAATCCTTAACCGAACCCGAGGCCAAGGTTGACTTGAACGTACACCAAAATGGCGACAGTATTTGCTCGTCGTTCTTGTTTGAAAACAATGTCAGTAGATGTTTTAGCTGAACATGCACACACACGATAGCGATATGTCGAAACACAGTCCCGAGAATATGGTAAAAACAAAACCACATTCAGTTCGTACGTACGACGATGAAGGTTTCCGAAAACGAGCTGCATGTCTGTGTTTTCGTAACGAAGAAGAAAACGAGGTGAGCGTATCATACGGTAGCCATGGTGGGTAACTGCCGGTTCCGGTAGCACAGTTTTACACGATCTTATTTCCTGCCGTTTTCTTTAAAAATTGTGGATGTTAGTCATATTGCGTGCTGTCGTATCAGTTCAAAACAATCTCTGATCTAGACATGGTCTGTAACTTGACTCGTACTTTCTGTTCGAGCAATATCTATTGTCTCACTATATCATATATGACAACTTGAACAGGGAATTATGATTATACTACTAGTATTATCCTTCTATTACCCTAAACATCATAATTCATTTTTTTTCAACTGTCCATGATGTATAGAAATGCTGTAATACTTCAACTTGTGCTATGCTCAATTCTAAGTCAAAGAATCGATACAACTGTAGAATATCAGGATCAGTCAGACTGCAATAGAAATATTCTGCATTTCTGTAGTAAAGAATAACGATATTATTAGTAGTTACAGTGGGTACCGAAACTAACTAATCCTGAAAACTGCTATCTTTCTATTAAGGTAGCGAGAAGGGTTTTGTAACGTTTTCGAATAAAACATTCTCTGTCTGTTTTCTTGTTCAGAACAGTAATTTAGCTTATATATTTCAAAAGACTAAGTATAGAGGTACAAGTTCGCACAAACTGGACAGTCATTGTTTACATAATGATCACGTGACATAAAAAATGGCCAACCTTGTAAAAATGACTAAGTCCGCAATTGCGAGAGCACACTGCGGAATTTCCTGGTGAAATTTACATCATGCATTATCCGTAATCAAGTCCATTGAAATGTGTCCCCGGTAATCAAAAGACCTATTATTCCGATTTCTATGCAGGTTTGTTTTTTGTCCCCAAATAATTTCATACTTGACACCTTTAACAGACTATTATTCTGTGACAAAGCATTTTCTTTAAAAACCTGGACATATTTCGCACCATCATTATCTTTTGAACGATAACTGCGAGTTTGAATGTCCTAGTCCGAACGCACTTGATTTGGCAGCGGTCCCAATGAGTCGTACTCAGTCAAAACTTCAACTCGAGAAAAACGCGAAAAACAGTTTTGGTTAATAAAACACTGTATATTTGCTGTATTATTATAAATATACACTAAAAATGGCCAAACATCTTAACCACTTATATCATAGAACTCATACAGAGTGTAAGATAATGAATAATTTCAAGCTCGAGCGTGAAAAATGAAGAAAACTGCTGGCATTTGAGACCGTACTCCAGGAACGTTCGGGTTTCTATTGTTATGCAAAAACACAACGAGGGATAATCCTCTGACAAACATTACTGTACTGTACACGCTGACAGTTTACAAACAAGCTAATCCTTCAAGTGTCTCTGATAAGAGATCTAATAAAACTGTTTTCATGGTGAAACAAAATGGCAGATGTTTGAAAAAAAATTGCTGTTTCAGAGTGCAACACTGAGTGGCAGATTTTTCTTTGCCTCGTCTGTCAACGCTTTCTTTCCTTCGCCATTGCGTTATAAAAATGGTATTAGTAAAATAGAATATTGACTTGGAAAATAAAACGATTTAAAAGAAAGTTGCGCAAAGTTACCGTACTTATTTCGCACAACCTCTCACCCGCTTCCGCTTTCCAATCACATTTTTCTCTCACTTTTGCGACCGCTTGTTGAATTCGACCGGACAATTTCCGCTTTATTTTCGACCGCGCACACCCCGAAATATCACCGCACGCCAGCCCACCCGCTAGCTCGCTCGCATTTAAAATTCGGACTAATAGAAACAAATTCCGAGATTCACATTGTCTTATAATTGTCTTTCTGGTTTTTATGAATGTTGAACAGCTGACAAAAGTTCAAATACTTTTTGTTTAAACTATCTATAATTATATGCACGCAATCTGACCCTTTGACCTCGATTTGGCTTGGACTGAATATTTTATTTTAAACAATATTCTGACGTGAAATACAACATGTATTTCAACACAAGTACGAGATGGTTGTCTGGGGTTTCTTTCCTGATTGTCGAGTCTTCGCGATGTGTTTTGTATAATTATTGTTGTTTTCCCCCGAGGCAAAGACAAGCTGAAGGACTATGAAGCTAAATGGCAGTTCCATGCATGGGCTGAGTGAAAGGAAATATTTCTAAGCCTAAAATAAAACCAAATATTACACCTCTTTGTGTATTTGTTAGTTTTACATATGTTTTTCATGACAGTATGTCTGTAAATATCTAGAAAAATCTCGTCTTTTGTTGATAATTTCGATTGTTTGAAATGTCTGTCGACCGTGTCCCAATAATTTGTTTGGAATGTCGATCCCAGTTGGTTTCTCCATACTGAGTTTAGGAAGGGCGTCGATCAACACAATCGGCCGAGACAGGACAAACATTGACCCTAATCATTCATGGGGACCATGTCCGTAATATGTAGACTGAAACCCCAAATAATTAAACAAGTATTATTATTATAATATATATTTTATTTAACATCGCAAAACTACAACAGAGCTAGAGTTGTTTGCGGTGAAACAGCCGCCTTGAAGTCGATCCAACTTCAACTAGCCATTTCTTACCCTGAAATAAAAAAAAATAAAAATTTGACGAAGAGCATCGGGGAAAATATTAATAATAATTCTTATCCATCGCTTGCTTTATTTTATTTGAATCCAGGATATTCAAGAGTTTTTTGGCATTTGTTGGCAACTTCCGCGCTAAAAAAGATTGAAAATGTGGGTGTGGTTCTTTTGCGAGGTCCTGTTGATAATACAGACAAATATGGCTCTGTGACCCAGGTCGTGCTCCGATCATGTGACTTTCAGCCAATCAATGATGTTGTAACAAAGCATATTTGACGCTGAGATACATTTGTCCACGGCGAATCAGTTTTCTCTGCAAGTTGTGGAAATAAAGTAAACCAGAGTAAGGCCGATGATTAGATTTACAACTATTAGATTTGAAGTGTCGTTCAGAATTTAATAACAGTTAATACTAGTTGTATGTTCACACTTTACTATCAAAACCACCATTTCGATCACTCATGTGCCAGTGATCAGTGTTTGGGCGAGCGGTCGGTGTTTCAATGAGCGAGCGAGCGAAAAAAAACGCGATTAAAATGCAGTCGGTTTCCGGTTGGACAAGTGATTAAGTGATAAGCGGTCGATGTAAAAGCGGAAGGTTGGGCGAAATGAGTACTGTATGCCTGGACTGTATGACCATGTTTCTCCGACGAAGTCTCGACTGACGATAATGCTGATAATGGACGTTAGATAAACACACACTGTTTGCTACGGGAAGCTTATCACCCGTTATATCAGAATCGTCAACAACAGAGTATACAGATAAGATGTTATCATTTAATCCCTTCCAAAGATAAACATTATGCAAATATCCATAAACACTAATTTAAGCAAAGTTATTTCGCAATTTCGATCTTTTGTAAACCTGGGATGATGTATCAAGGTCTAAAGTAACTGTTTTATCAATTTTTGAAAAATCAAGAAAAAAGTGAAAATTTCCCTGGAACATTATTAGCAGAGTTTGTTTTGACCAAATGACATTCTCACAATCAACAGTTCATAATTATTAAATTAACCAATAATCTCATTGTGGATGTTTATTTTCTTTTAACCTTTATCTTGCCAAATAAGTATTTATTTTGTAAAAAAAAAATATAACTCTGAAATGCTATTTATATATCGGTAGCAAATATAGATTACTGGTATGTATTCAAGGTGCAACAAAGTAAATTGCAGTAATGGTGCACCGGTATATGTAACAAACATGTTAATGTTGTACATCGATCTGTGATTAGTAAATTATTAGAGCATAGAATATTACAAATCAGATGACTAATCATTCTTAATTTTATTAACTCATTACTGGCTCTTTGTACCAGTACCAAATTTTTTGCACAAACATTTTTATTTTTTAATTATTTATTTTGACATTTTGTGTTCACTGATACGCATGTGCAATGATTATTATTGTCGCATGAAAACAATCAGTGCCCATGCATATTAGAAAATTTCATTGTTTTATCAAACAAATACTAGTTCAGTGTTTTCAAGTCATGATAACCGATAGTCTAATGTAGTCATCAACATAAAATTTCAAACAACAATATTAAAAATTACATGTTAACCATTTCGTCTTTAAAATACTAGACAAAGTCATATGCTGTTCTTCAGGTGTCTCTGTCATTCAGCTAAACTTGCTTTTACAAGAAGGACCACGTGACCATGTTTGGGTGAGCAACCACGCTACATCGGCCCCACTTTGGTAAAAAGTTTCTGAAGGAATAGAAGATGCCCTCCACTGGAAACATATGAGATAGAAGTGTAAAGGTACAGAGAACACGCTGACAAAATGTCATCAAAGAATACAAAGGAAAAGGTGAAAAACAGAAGGAAAAAGAAACCAAGGAAAAGAAACTTATGGAAGCCTACATGGCGTCGAAGACAAGCGCGAAGGAGGCCAAAAAGGGGGATGGCGAAGAATCGGGGTTCGAAAATGATGAAGTCTCAAGCTATTCTCTGAAGACTATCACTAAACTGATCACTGATCTAAAACAAAGCACAGAGGCAGGTTTCAGGGATATAGCAGGAATTTTAATACGAATGGGGGAGGTGGAGAAGAAGTGCAGTGAATTGGAGGAAACGGTAGAATACAATGCGAACATTGGACGGGAAAACGCCCAGGAAATTGACCACCTGAAAAAAAAGATCCACGAGCTAGAAACTGAAAATGAACGTACAAAAGAATCAAGTCTTAGAAACGAAAGGCATTCCAGAAGTTTCAATCTGAGATTTTATGGAATCAAGGAGAAAGAAAAAGAAAATGCTCTGAGCACTGTGAGGGAAATGGTGAGTGAAAAATTTGGTGTAGATCCCAAGACCGTGGAAAACGCATATCGAATCCCCGAGGGGCCCCCAAAAAGTAGTCGTACTCGGGCCATAATTGCAAGATTTATCTACTGGTCCGACAGATGGGCTGTGTTGTCCACATCAAGGAAAATAGTGAACGGAACTGAAATATATGTTAAAGAAGATCTCTGTGATGAAGACTACAGAAGAAAGCGAAGCATGATTCCAACTATGCAAAAAATATGGCAGAAGACCAAGATTTCAGAACGGGCGACTTTACATTGATGGAAAACCTTGTGATAGCGGCGCGTGGATAGAAGACAAAACTGACTGACTGTGAACATCGGGACAATTATGATACTGGGGAAAATAACAATAAAAGATCACAAATAAATAAGTTAATAAAAACAGATGGTTCAGCAATCACATCACAAAAGGATATTAATGCAGAGATTAAATTATTTTATACTAAGCTATACTCCTCAGGGCTGGACACTTCCATAGAAAACTTTACTGCTTGTCAGGCATCGTTTCTCGGAACCCCTAACATCAAAAAACTTTCAGAGGACCAAGCAGCAGTTTGTGAGGGTTGTATTACTTTTGAGGAAGCCCATGAAGCAATCAAGACATTTCCTGCAAATAAAACTCCAGGAAATGATGGAATGCCGATTGACTTCTACAAGTGTTTTGGGGGTCTTATTGGAAACTTTGTGGTTAATTCATTGAATACTGCTTTTGAGAAGGGCCAGTTATCCCCAACACAACAACAAGGGGTAATCACTTTATTGGAAAAGAAAGGAAAGGACAGGAGATTTTTGAAAAATTGGCGGCCAATCTCATTGCTGAATGCAGACTACAAGATTGGTACAAAATGCCTGGCCAAGCGATTGGAAATAATTCTTCCTTAACTCATACATGAAAATCAGTCTGCCTTTGTGAAAAACCGATTTATTGGGGATGGGGTGAGATTGGTTGAAAACATTCTAGATTATTCAGATAAACAAAAAATACCGGGCATTTTATTGACTATTGATATAGAAAAAGCGTTTGACACAGTTGAATGGGATTTTCTATACAAAACACTGCCAGCCTTCAATTTTGGAACTGACTTCATTCAGAAAATCAAAGTACTGTATAAAAATATTTCTAGTTGTGTCATGCACAAGGGTACAAGCACTGGCTATTTGCCACTTCACAGAGGTGTGAGGCAAGGGGATCCCATATCACCCATGCTTTTTATTTTGGCCTTAGAAATTTTTATGATTTCAATGCGTGATGATCCGAATATTAAAGGGTTGGAAGTGCCCGGCCAGGGGGAGGTTAAGGGAGCTGCGTATGCAGATGACCTCACTTGCTTTTTAAGGGATGTACCATCCTGTCATCGCCTTTTTGAGAAACTTAAACACTTTCAGATAATCTCAGGTTTAGCAGTAAATAAATTGAAAAGTGAGGCTATGTGGTTGGGAAATGAAAACATAGAAAAGATAAACCCCTACGTCTTAGTTGGCCTAACACTCCCATTAAAATTTTGGGAATTTACATTTTGTACGATAAAAAAAATGCCATCCAGGATGAATTGGGCTTCCCCATTAGAATCTCTAAAATCATCAATTAAATTTTGGAAAAGGAGAAATTTAAGCCTGTTAGGTAAAGTGCAAATTATTAAAGCCCTGGGTATATCCAGAGTGTTATATGTGTTAAAATACTATTGAAGTTTTGAAAAAAATTAACAAACTCATTTTTGTTTTTTTGTGGGGAGGTCCTGATAGGATTGCCAGGAGGACAGCAATTGGTGGTATTGAAAAAGGAGGTTTAAATGTCCCAGATGTATTTTCAATTCATAAAGCTCAACGTATAAACTGGATGCGCCGCTATTTTGATGAAACCACACCTCATCCGTGGAAATGGTTTTTGAAAAATAGTTTGGTAAACGTGGGAAATATTGAGCTACTTTTGAAAAGTAATTTTGACATTAAGATGTTGCCGTTACAACTTAACAGCTTCCACCACAGTATGCTGAAAACCTGGCAGTCGGTGAGGGACTACTCCCCGGAAGGGCATATCCTGAATCAAATAATATGGAATAACAAAAATCTTTGATTGCTGATAACAGTTTTTATTACAAAGAATTTGATGATGTAGGGATTCACTATGTGGGGCAACTTTTTAGTAACAGGGGTTTTATATTGGATTGGAAAGAAATGATGAACAAAGGTGTCCCAAAGCACATGTTTTTGAAATGGTACAGTATTATATCAT